CAAATTTGGGTGAAATCGGTTCACAACCACGCCTGAAATCTCGATTATCACTTTATCATGCGAGAGTAAAAAATGTTCGGTGACACCCGAACTTAATCCTTCCTTACTTGTTTTTTTTTCAACGAGGGTCGAGAGCGCGTTGACGACGAAACACATCGTCGACCGCTATCAACATCAACTGAGGATCAACACGTCAATAAAATCGCCGATTAACAGTCAGAGATCTTACTAGCATCATTGGAATATCGGAAAAGTCAGTGAAAACCCTTTTTAAAGATCTTTTTAGTCTATAAAAGTATTCAAAATTACTCAATTTTTTCGAAATAACGGCGTAGCGTTAATATCTGTGAAACAATGTTTTACGACTACGAGGATGTCATGAAACGTATTATTACTGGCAATGAGTGTCTTCAAATCTTCGCCGTTTGTATTCAACAGAGGAATGTACACTGAGACCCGCCTGCAGATTCTTGGTTTTTTTCGTAAACTTTCAGTTCTGCCGCCATTTTTTTCGTGTCTGAATAAGTGGATCAAAAAAGTTCCTCAGCTTTTTGTCTTTCATTTCGAAACATTGCAAGCAGCATATCTATCATATTTGATGCCTTTGCCAGATAGAGATAGACATAGGCAAAAAATTCTAATTACAAATTCAAATTTTGCACACGGCTACGATGAGTATCGTTGCTTTTCCCGTCATTTCCTTATTTTTCCAGTTACTAATTTTTGTCAGAGCTTTGACGATAAACGACAATTTCGCGGCAAATCGGATAAGTGCATTGTGCCTTTGAGCCCATCTTGTTTCATATAATACGGTCGATGTCCCCCATTTCTCCCTTTGAATCCGAGACTGATAATACTATTACCCTACACCAAGTATTAGATGTGGTGAGAACCTGGATGTGTTTCTACAAAGGTTGAGGTCTTTCTCAGCACTATCTAGTACATAAATATATTTTATTATTGTGCAACTTAATTCATCATTATTTTAAGTTTTCAGTTTCCTTTACCTATTTAGTTTCATATCAAAATAATTGATATCATATTAATTTTATTCATTTTAATTTTATAAACAAATGGCCCACCGATTCCAAAAATATTATGAACTCAAACATTTCCTCTCTCTTCAGTTCGGGATTTTTCGTTTTTCAATCTTCTGCTCATACTTATTTTTTCAACAAATGGTTTCAATTTTGAAGGTTCTTAAACTTCTACAGTTTGCAATGTCTT